ATAGTAATATAGTACCGTACCATACCGTACAGTACCAATAAATTAATTGTACCGTACATAATCTCTGTATCCCGCAATCGGAGTGCACAAAATTTGACTGTTCCGGATCGCTAGACATGAATTCCGAACACGTGCGAAAGAAGAAAAAAGCGAAATACTCAAAAACTAGTGTTTAAATCGACCTTAGTACACTAATTAAAAATGTCTGGAACAAAATTTTACATATAAAAAACAACGATCTATTGTTATAGCCGCTAATGTTAACGACCTAACCCTAAACTTCTATCTTTACGCACTTAGTTTATTTTCAAAATTCGATTTCCTTTTTAGTTTGTGTTACTCGCGCAAATAAGTAAACTCCATATGTGGTCACACGACCCACGATAAACTGCCGCCTTGTGACTACGTTCACAAGCGGCACATGGCCTATATGGCCATCAAGAATTTATGTTGTAATTTAAATTCCTCACTGGAAATAAACGAATAATACACTGTCATACGTTGTTCATGTCTATAATTTTTGTATGATTATTTGAGTAATAGTCAGTGAAAACCTATAAAGCATGCTTACGAATATTTACTTTTAATAAAAATATTTTAAAATATGTAACAGACAATTATACTTTTAATATCATTTGAATTGCCTTAATGAGACAATTCGAATAACATCAAATCTCAAATATTTTACGATATTTCTATTAAAAGTAAATACTGTATTTAGAAATCTTGGTTTACAAGTTTTCACTGACAGTCACTCATTTGTAACCTACAGAAAATTCTCGGTCACAATATGATCGCATGGGAAATTATAATGAAGTAGGTGTGAACAACAAATAGTAAGGCAGAGTGTTATTAAGTAAATATTTGGCCCCCACCAAATATTGTACGATTTTGACCAATTAAATTTCAAGATTGGCCCGATCCAATTAAATTTCAAGATTGACCCGATCTTGAAATTCTGTTGGTCAAAATAGTACAGTCAGACCCCTCTAAATGCTACTCCCTTAAGTGCATGTCCTACGAAACACCTCTCTAAATGCATGCCTTCTCTTGGGCCCAAATTATATTATATCTATGGGTTTTTACCTCCATATATACAATACCTCTCTAAGTGCACGTTTACTAAATTTTTATATATGGTCCCATCACATTGCATTTAGGGAGGTCTGACTGTACAATATTTTGAGAAGTCAATATTTATTTTCACTCTTTGACACCCAAATAAAGGCATAATTTAGAGTAGTGAAACATTGAATGATGCCTGAAGTTATACAGCACATACAAGGAAACATATATAAGCAATATATTCTCGAGCTTGTTGATTCTCGAGATTGTTAAAGAACATTTTGACTTTTAAAAGACTTGTTCTCCTATTAAAAGTGAATAAGCGAATGCTAAGTCAATATTTTCTATGAATATTAATCACGGTTTTTTTCATCAATTCATATAGATAGATATACAACTTATATCTAATTAATATTCTTATCAAGATGATTAAACTAGAATTGGTTTCGGTCTTAATTATTCTTTTGCTCAACGTAAGTTGCTCATTTACCGGTGTAATGCCGGCTAAAGCTCCCACATCAATTGGAGATCCTGGTAAGTTTTGTTGATAATCTAGCAATCGTTGACACCATCTGAACCCATTTTATTATACAATAACTATAAATTAAGTGTATCCTCACGGTATCAATATTCCAAGCAATTTCACTATTCCGTCCGGAAATGTTTTTAAATTTACGTTAAAACTTGCTGGATTTGTCTGGTATTTATGTGATACTTCAAGTAGTGATAAATGGATTGAAGGTAAATGCTTATGTACTTATTTTGATGCTTATTTTGATACATTTCGTCTCATATAGCTTATGATGTTATATGATTATTAGATCAATTTCGATCAGTGTATTTTAATACCAAAGATGATATCGCCGGCTTCCCTACTTCAGCTGCGGCTGTATTAGATGTAAGAGGCATGTAATAATTAAATAAAATAATTGTCACGTCGAAGCTGAAAACGCTAAAGCTGGAAATTATTTAAAAATATAAACCCTACCAAAATCCACTTATACATTTTTATTATCAAAACTAACCCTAAATCCTAAGCTAACT